ACTTCATTTGTTATCCTTTTTATTGATTAATGGTCAAGAATAACTTATGTTTAACTTTTCTTTCTTAATAGTGTATGCCACACTAATAAACTGATTAATAATTATTGGTTAACATCTAATTCTTTCAGTTATTTTTTATTATATAACATCATAATTTTATTATATAGTCTGTTTCACTTAGTTACCTGAAATGCTTCATAAAAAATAGTGTATGTACAACTTTCTAGGTTCCATACCTATATATATATATATAATACCTTTAACTTTTGTTTCATCATTGAAAGTGAAAAACCCAAAAGGTGCTTCAATTGATAAGTTTGAACTTTGCTGAACTGATACTTTAGATCACAACTTCCTTTTGTCTAGTATCATTAATCGTGTTTGTTTAAAATTACATTATTTGATAACATGCTATTTGAATATGTCGCTAACTAGCATAAACGTTTATTCCAAACTTTATGCAAAATTTCAAAACACTGCCCTTGAAACATTTAAATATGCTACTTTCAATTAAGTGTCATTTTAAAATGTACCATCACTAGGCCTAGGTGCTATATCTTTCTTATTTCATAGGAATAAACTTTGCATTTAAAATGATCTCACATTTAAGAGCCGTATTCAAACCTACTTAATACTATTATGCTGTAAAATTAGTCGAGCCCTTGATAAACATAAACTGATATTCTGTTTGGACAAACTTGGAAGAATTATCTTTATAATAGGCTAGTCGAAACCAAAGTGAAGGATTATACGTATATATTTCAACACAATTTTATCTAGTTAAACATAAATATGTTGTCATTTGTAAAAAGGCGTTCCATAGAATAAAATGACGTAATTCAGAGCAAAATATCACTCCCCCTATCGACGTTTTGTATGAAAAGTTGGAAGACATTAAGGAAGTAAGTGTGTTGTAGTAGTTATTATACAGTTACACACTTTCAATAAGATATTTCACGTAGTTGAAAGTTCCCCAACTCCAAATATACTCACCAGTACAGGCCGCATGCATAGTTCCATCTAGAAAATGATAGAGATAGAAAAACTGTAACATAGGAATCGTACTATAAATACTTTATTAGAAAACGTAGGTAATCTATTTTTTACATTATGTGAATATACATTTCACGTATAAATGTGTTTAAATTGTAGCATATTTTACTTTCCTCATATTACATAATTTCCAAAAATTAATACAACTTTCCGTTTATTATTGTAGCGTTATAAGTACTCAAGTTTACTACTGAGCAGGCGGGGGGGGGGGGGAGACTTTCATTGATCAAAACGTATTTTTCTTTCATCTAATAGTTATTTAAATTATATAATTGTGGTATTTTCGTTGGTTTTTAAAATGAATTCATCATAAGTATAGGATTTTATTTATATTTACGTGTTTGATCAAGACTCTATTTGTCAATATACGTGGGGTATGATATTACAATACGAATGAAAATAGCTCAAACCACGTCATTCTTTATTGTAGAGGTAGCTGTCCAGAAAAAGAGTGAACACTAGCATTTCAATTATAGCACGTTTGTTGTATGTCACTGCCGAAGAGGCTTTCGTTGAATACCAGAATTCATTTCATCAGGCCACGTGCGTTACAGCACTAGTTGGCATACTATTTAAGTTGATATTTTATGGGACGAATCATAGGGTAAAGAACGCCTTAGCTTGCGAAGCATGACATAATACGTTTGCCATATTACATCAGTTTTACTATGATGTAATAGTACATCTACTCCATCTAGGGCGTTTTACATCTTAAGACTTGTATAATTAGGTAACTTTTTGACGGGTTACTGTTAAGTTTACGGTCTGTTAACACTAATGTCTGAGGTTCGATTTCTTGCGATGGATATAATGTAGATAGCCCATCGCATAAACGAAACAACAAGTCATTATTTTACTATCTTACTTGCATTTTTTCTGTTATTATTATTTTTGCGATTGTTCTAATAAATATGTGCTGCTTTATTCCAAAGTTGCCAACTGCTCATAATAAGCAAATCTGCTTTATTTTTTTTAGAGTCGCGAGTTGCAGTTTTTTAATCTTGTTTTATCTCGAGGTCGCTTAGTTGAGCCTTTTTTTTGTAATAGCTAATTTCAACACACAGTAAAATGGTAGTAAAGTGGCTTTGATTGGGTATATTAATAGACTACACACCATTATAATTTTAGAATAATCTTATCTTCACTCTTGTTCAATTAAAAAAAAACATCCACAGTCGTGAACTTTCTGGCCTGTTCATCTTCTTCATCGGAATTCGGACCATGTTTTTGGGCCAGGGAGGGTCAGGTCAGCGTAGACCTCTTCTTTCCTCTTTGGAATTGTTATTTTATTTGCACTCTTACTGAATCCTAGGTAAAAACTCGTGTTACGTTGTTGTTGTTGTTGCATTACTCACAGCATGTTACATTTTGTCCATTGTCCGAAGCTGTAATTAACATACCCTTTTCGTGACATGTCCAATTCATGGGGTAATATCAACTTGTATATTTCAATAGCTTAACTTATGTATGATCGCACTATTAGTCCGTGTTCACAATACAGTTCCACTTAGCTGTCATATATACACACACATAATCCTAGTTTTACATGCAAAACCCTTTTAAAATAGAGCTACGTCTGTGTCTAGGATTCGGTTATTCTAGCACTGTTTAGCCTGTAATATTCTTATTTATGGTGTTTAGAGGGGAGAGGTACTTAGGGCTTGGTTCATAATGTATTATGTAACTCTATAGTTTGCTCAACAGTTCATTTTTATTGATATTTTTCTTATAATATTGAAGCGAATTATCTATGAGTCTTTCTGGTAGTGGTGGCATGTTTGAAAGGTTGTGTAGAAATGTTAAGTTTTTTATCGTGGGACTCTATATGCTTTCATTAAAATACTGTTTTCTATTTGCTATAGTTTGTTCATATGTGTTTTTGATATATTTATCCATGATATACAGCCATATTCTACGACTGGTCTTATGTATGTTCTGTAAAATTCTAATATGTTTTTTGGTAAAGCTCCTTGGTTGTTGCCAGTCAGGCTCCTAAAGTAACTCGCCCTATTCCAAATTCTGGTTTTTATGCTATTAATGTGTGGTATCCAGTATAATTTTGAGTCAAATGTAATCCCTAAGAATTTTGCTGATGTTGCTACTTGTAAGAGAGTCCCGTTTAGATATAACTGTGATATTAATTTGCTTGTTTTGGACGATTTTGTAAATAATATGACTTGTATTTTGTGCGCATTAACTTTAATTTTCCACTTGTTGTAGTACATTCGTTTAGTAGTGGTTGTATATTGTATGTTGCTGTTGTTGGGTTTGGGGCACTCTTACAAACTGTATTGTTTTGGGCTTGTTTCAAAAGGTAGCGCCGCATTTTTAAGGCTTGTTTTGAACGGCACTGGCGCTTTTTTTTTTCGCGAGCCTTGTCAGCACTGCTTTGTTCTATTATTATTGTGATATTTATTATTGTTAACTTACATGTACTGCATCTTTGCTAGGTGTACATGCATCAGCCAACATTCCAGCATCAGTCATGTCTGGGTAATATTTCTTCATGCATTCAGCCAGTCTCTCTAGAAACTAATAATAATAAAAAAATCGAATAAATATGTCCAAATTTTAATAAGTATCCTTACTACAGAATATATATATATTTCAAATATTATCTTTAATTTGTTAAAAAGAAACATCTTTTGGTTGATTTTGTTCATATCATATTCATCCTTAAGTAATGAATCATAAAATTTCATAAATACGTTTTATTTGCAGTTCAATTTCGACTTTTTGTAAGAGGTAACCTTTGAAAAAATTCTGCGCCTTCAATGCGAGTTAGATTACAATTTGATACTTTAAATAAAATTATGGTATATCATATACGTACTGTGTTTGAGAGTCTTTCCCTCATACAAACTGCATATTTCTCCAACTGGTTCGGGTCCAAATCTAGCAAAACATAAAAATAAAACAGAAATTATTACTGTGGGTTTCAAAACTTTTGAACCTTTACGTTGGTTGATGAATATCGTCGGTACTACAGTCAGTTGAAACCGGTGGTATAAAAATCAACGGTTTCTTCAATATATTAGTTGTTCGAGATTTTTCAGGAACTGCAGCTCGGAAGCTTACATATAATCTATTCAAACTTCTTGTTAAACTACAGTGTTGTTCACTTCAAGAACTTTGATTTCAAATATTTTTACAAAAATGTTTTCTATCTCAACAGATACTATTAAGTTTTTTTTTTTTTACAAAAAATGAATTATAGTTTGACTAACATAGTTACAAAAAGAGCTGCACGAAAAAGTAAGAAAGAGATTACAGTAAAAAATTAAACTGCTTAATTTCGTATTAATTTTGCTTTTATTTTTTACCCTAATTTCCATCATATCTTGGCCCACGTTGTATCAGAAGTGTCATATTTCGAAAGAGTATGCCCACCTTCAACATTTCTCACAAGCTTGATTCACTTCCTACTCTGGTTCTATCACACATTTTGATTCAAATGCCTATGTTAGTTAGTTTTCGGAAATCAGATATTATGATTTTAACTAATGCAATTAAAGTTAATAATTTCATTCCACACTTACCACAATGAAGAATAGAAACTTCGGCGACACCAACGCAAACTACAAGAACAAGACATACCAGAACCTTCATTTTCAGCTGACGTCTGGAGAATTATTTAAACTTTACTGATTTGAAAGAAGCCAATTTAAATTGTATAAAAATGTGATAACTTTTAGCCAGCTGCCAATGTTCTCAGGGAAATCATTTCATCTTCTTGTTATCATTAAATAATTTGTCTCCAGAAAGACTGAACTCGGCAGATATTTCCCCAAAATTAGGCTTTACCTAAAATCTATTTATTAATTGTTATACAATACGTTGATTACCACTTGTAATTTAACATATAATTATGTTATAATTAATTTTATTGAACCAAGAATTGTAGGCCACTAAACGAAATAATACACACTTTAGTTAGAGAAATAAACACAATAATCCAACCGGATGCATAACAGATGGTCACGTTCTCGCTATTAGTGACGTATTACAGAAAGAGTAGTTGGTCTACGATAGTGTGGCATGTAAACATTTACCGAATTACAAAAAACAAAACCTGCAGAAGTAAACAATAGTGTGCAATAAAATTACAAACTACAAATTGTTATCAGTATCTTCATAATTTTGTATTTTATTAATATTAGCTGAGGTACCCGTTAAGCAAACAAAAATTGTATAAAGGATATTGTTAAATAACGCCCTCCCCCTTTTCTTCTTTCGTTATTAAATTCTTTATGATTCTCAGTAGATGCGAATTACATACCATGCTTTGTGGAAGGTAATAATTGGTTTATTTAACTGATTAAGTACTTGTGCCTTTAAATTTAAAGCCAAAAAGTCTATAAAAGGTGGAAGTGTATCCTATTTTAGGGAATTTTTATCCCCTTTCTCGGGCAATTGCCCTAAAACAAAATAGCCCACGGGCATCGTCGTACAATTTTTAGCTGCTGTACTGTGTGTGTGTATGTTAGCATCCATTACCCAGAGCCGACTGGCTCGATTACCGTCAGTTTTGATATGGCAACTTGTTTAAGATTTCTGCAAAGAAAGATAAAAAAAATACCCCAAGTGTAAAGTTAGACAGTTTGTAGTTCCCATATAAATAATTATGGTACTCGAGGGAGCCAGAAGGGTATAAAAAGGTGGACATTTTCTTATTTTGGACTCTTTTTTTTTATCTCCCTTCTTGGTTAAAACCCTTCAAACAAAGTAGCCATTGTACACCATCGTACAGTTTCCAGTTACCATAACAAAACTTAGGGAATCGAGCTAGACAACTCTGGTTGATGCAAGGCAAAAGTCTATAAAGAAGTGGAAATGTTTTCTATTTCAGGCTTTTTTTTATTCCTTTTCTCTGACAAAAATCCTAAAATAAAATATCCCTTGTACACGGTCGGACAGTTTCCAGTTACTGTTCCAAAAATTACGATAATCGAGCTAGCCAACTGTGGGTGATAGATACTCAGGCTAGCACGTACATATAATGGATAATCTTTATAGTAAGACTGAGGTATAAATAGAAAGTCTTTCTGATTATATACATCGTTTTTTAAAATCAAAAGTCGTATTTTGTGGATACGACTGACCCGCAGCCCGCAGGAACCAAGAACGTGGAACAGTGACCAATTTTTATTTTTAATCAAAAGGAAATCCTCAATAGCCGTGGCACCTGAAATTCTTTCAGGCAGGATTAGACATTTCCTTTCCCTTTATATCACCTATATTTCTGTGCGCCCGGAATACCAAGCGTGGGGCGCGCGTATACCCGAATCGATTTTATTACTCATAAGGATCTCTACAAGCTTACCCTCAAATTGAAATTCTTTTAGGCAGGATTACAGTAAGTTACTCTATGAAACCTTGGGCATGGTCAATGCATCAATCGAAAGGGTTTGACCTTCTGGGTCCAAAACTGTAATTATATCACAAATCGGTCAAGAGATGACGGAGCTATGATCTAAACGTTTGTACTTGAAAAAAAAAAACAAACAAACTCGGAGTCATTCTGTGAGACGCTATGAAACATATTTTCCTTCAGTTCCTTAATGAAATGTCCAAAAAAGTTGAACGTCATTAAAAATAATCTGAAGAGCTGACAGCAAACTATACACTATAAAAAGTGTAATTTCATATCCTTCGTCAGAACATGTAATTTTACACACATAATAAAATTATAATATATAAAACTAATATTTTCAAGAAGCCGTACTTCATTCAATTAAGGGGCGGAGGAGGTGGGATTATGTCTGTCTGTGTTTCTGTGCGCGTATCTCGAAAACTAAATGATCAATGTACAAGAAACTTTTCAACAAGATGAAAAGTCAGTATGGGACAGTTTTCCCCAAATTTGGCCCGGATTATGGATCACTTTGAAGCATTTGTTATAATGGGGAGATAGGGCATTTTCGCGGTTTTGGGTTAAGAACTCTGTAAAGTGAGATCGGATTTGTACCAAATTTCATGGGCACATTAAGGTTGAGACTTATCATCACATTACAAAAAAATGAACCGGATCGTCGATCATTCAAGATCTGAAAAACATTTTCTGAATTTTTGAAGGTAAAATTTGACTTTATCCAATATAAATAAACGCATGCAATCTTGAAAAGGAGAGGCGGGGCGAAAATATGCAATCTCTCTGAATGCTCTTGTTATAAATGTATGTCTTTTAAAAAGTTACTTGTCATTTTTAAAAGAAAGGCCAAAAATGTATAAAGCATGAGTTAATACATTATTTTTAATATAAATGAATCTGACGTTTTTTTCATCCCCTGGTTGTCTTCTTCAAAAGTATTTATGTAATATCGTTATCATCTGGAACTATTTAATAAAAGTATTATACAATCATTATATTTTAATAAATAAATCTTTTTTGATATCATAAAAATAAATCAATTTAGAGATAAAGCACTAAAAAAAACACTTTTCTCTATATGGTGTGACCATGGTTCCTCGTCTAAATTAATACTATTCTTTCTTATCTAATATTTCTATCGATTAACGTACTTTTCTCTGTTCCAGGATTTAGTTGTGCAATGATTTCAGCATCAGTCCAATTGATAATATGATATTTTGTATCTATATAATAAGATTCAGTGTCTGTGTGTGTGTGTCACGTAACTCCTCCTTAACAGCTGGTCGCACCTACTTCTAAGTGGTACCAAACAAATCATCTCGATCCCGAGGTTTGTACAAAAGTAAAACTTTTCACTTCACCCAACTCCTTAGGGAACCCGATAGCGGACCCCAAATTTGGCATTGAATTACATTAGAACACGTAAATGCAGTAGTTCAAGCATTAAATTTACATTATAGAGGCCCTGTAACTGTGGGCCATAGGCCCACGGGTTCGCTAGTAATGCGATAGACCATGGTCGATTTGTCCATTTCTCCCTGCCCCCTAGTGGCACAGTGGACTTACAACGCTAGAAACCGGGTTTCAATACCCGTGATGGACAGAGCACAGATAGCTCATGTGTAGTTTTGTGCTTAACTACAAACAAATCATTTCTCCCTTTTTACAATTGTTTTTGTTTTGTTTTTATTCGTGTTTCTAGTGATCATATTGTTTGTTCAATGTATATTTCACCACATTCATACGGCGTTTGATAAATTCATTGTGTTATCTTTATATTTTTTAATCTTATCTGTTCCTCCAAACAAAATGTTTCGTAACTTGTTCATAGGTTTGAGCCTGGCATGGCCTGGGAATCAGGGCACTCAACTTGCAATATGTGAGTCGTGGGATAGAAAACTGTCGCAGAACATACTCGCCTTCTCAGCTATTGGGACATTATAATGTTACAGTCAGTCCCACTATTTGTTAATGAAAAGTAGCCCAAGAGTTGGCAGTGGGTACTACCGACTGGTTGCCTTCCCAATGGTCGGCAATTCAAAAATAATTAGGAATGGTGGCATACTGTTTATGGCAAAACTACTAAAGCTCACAAACAAACAAATTATGAGCTTAAAAGCTACACTGATCCCCTTTGATCGAGCAAATTTCAGATCTTATCAGAACCTTTAAGTTAGATATATAATTTTCTTTCTTTTCTTGTTGTTAAGTTATTTGTCTCTTACTTTTGAAGTATATTTTTTGATGCAATTTTATTTACACACTACAGAAGATTAACACGGCCCAAAGCATAGACTGTCCTCCCTTTAATTATGAAGTTCTGTCGAATACAATTGTAAGTGCGCAGTGCAGATATGATAGTACCATCCCTAATTCCGAAAATAGCGACCACACAGAAACAACCAGCGGACAACTACCAATTTTGTTTTTCAAATTAGTATTATTTATTATTGTGTCTCATTTGTGACACAATGTAAATAATATAATTTTAATACTATTACTTCTACTACTATTAAAATATATTTTTCAAAAGCTTGTAATTTGAGAGAAATATTTTGTTTCTTTTTCAACAAAAAACTACACACCGCGGATATTTTTTATGTTATGAGCCTCTAGACTCTCCACCGAAATAAAAAAATGATTTGATTTGGCACATGAAAACCAGTTGTTTTGGGTTACGGTGAGGTCACGTATAACTAACAAATCAAGAAATTGCAACTGGTTGTTGTTTTCAGATTCATAAGTAAAGTGAATATTTGGATATATATATGCTGTGTAAATATGAAAGTATCATTCACGTATCTTGTTCAGACACCAACCTAGACAGATAATTTTTGAAACGTTTCCTTTTAGATATAACAATACTGAGACCATGGCTTTGTTTATCATGAACCACTATCGTGGTTCATTATAGAGTTCACCCAGAAATTTCACAAAAATTCTAATAGAACATACGGGCAAAAACCATCTTAAAAAGCAAACTTGTTTTTGAAACAACTTTCAAGACCTTCTATCTCAATGGCTAATGCTGTTAAAATATTGATAATAGCAAAAAAGTTGATTTTCCGATTGTTAGACAAAATTCATCCATTTGTTCTTCATATTATTATTATTATTCACATTTTTCTTGTTTCACCAGCCTACAGATATAATGGCTATTAATATTTTATTCAAACCTGAGCAAACCTACTAAAGAACTCCTGCACAGGTCATAAGATTCTTGAAAGAGAAAAATAAATTTTATCAGTTTTTTCATCGCTAGTGGCCAAGTTTATCTTCGAAACCATTCAAGCACCCAAGCTTACAGCAAAAACGGCCAGGTA